CCCCAAAACCCCAAAACCCCAAAACCCCAAAACCCCAATTTAATTCAGTTAGATTGAATTTTAAATGGAGCCAAATCGACCGCTAGAAATAGAAAATAGTTATTGCAGAAATTCAGAAGAGCCTTCAATAGAATTCACGTATGCTAATCAAGGAAATAACAATAATAACTCACTAAAATCTTCAAAATACAGCAATACTATAAACATACATGTAAATCATCCTTAGATTAACAATAGGAAAATGAAAAGCTAGATTCGTACGATGATAAAGTATTTAACGACCTCACGAACTCCAATTGTGAAGACCTAAATGACTCAAGCAAGCCAGTCGTGCCAATGCTGGACCTCTCAATAATCCACAGCCAAAGCAAGGACAAAAATAGTAAGGATTTTATTATACTCCCAGCTAAGCAAGCATGCCATGCCAAACCAAAGGAACCTACTAACAACGAGGAAAAAATTAATAACATAAAAAAAGTATTTTACTCCTCATCTGTTAGATCCAAAGTAAAAATATTCCAAAAAGGAACAAACACACCATTCAATCCAAGCATCAAAGCTACTCTAAAAATGATATTCACAGAACTAAAGGAAGGAATAATGCCTTAGAGTCTAAATAAGTCTTCAATGGCTAAAATTGTCCAAAAGAGCACAAAGACTTGCACCCTAAAACCTAAAATGCAATCGAAGAATAATAACCCATCCACTAGGACAAAGAAGTTTATGGTAAAGCATGGGTTTGACCAAAGAAAATAAATCAGGAGTCTATAAGCCAGAACAGAGGCTACTTGGGGATCCCTCTGTTAAGAGCAATAATAGCACACTGCTCAAAGCTAAGAGAAAAAGCTGCAAAGAGTCTATAATTGACCATATTTTGAATAATTCTTCAGGAAATAAGCCGGGAAATGTCGATAGAATGTACCAAGCTTATAGGAGTACGAATAATAATGCCAGCCTAAAGCCATCGTCTTGTAAGTATTCTAAATCCAGACCTGAGATGTATGTAACTTCTATGAATCATTCAAGGACCACTAAAGCTAAAGATATCACAAGAGATGCGTATAGAGTATTACCTTGAGATTCTCATCCAGTATAGTCCTTTGTATCCAGGAACAATGGAAATAAGAACCTTAACCAAAGGCCTAAATCAAGCGTAGTTCGACATAATATGTCTCATGAATCAAATTTCGACAACTTGGGTGGCCAGAGATCAGAAAGTGTTAACGAAAGGTTCCTCCTACCAGAGGAAAGAAATAAGCTAAGAGTTGTCAACATCAGCCTTGACCAAATGGTAGTGCCTTGCCTTAGCATCTCTAGGACAACTATCAGATTGCAGAAACTTATCCTCAAAGCTTAGCTTTAAGTAAAGATTCTCATCAAGATGAGATAATGAGAAAGTTATCTCCTAACCAGCGGCAGGAGATTCTTAGAATCAGGGAAGAAGGCAAAAGCAGGTGTCAACAGATCATTAACCAGGTATCTCCTGACTAAAACATTAGATTGATATAATGAAATCAAAAGCAAGCGATAGAGCCATAGAAACCAGCGAGAGAAACAGACAGAGCCAGAATGATGAGTACATCAAAACTATAGCTGGGAATTACGAAGAAATACTGAGAAACCTTAAAAATAACGAGGTTTCATCAAAATTAAAAGATTATGAAAGTAGGATGAAATCATTTGAAAATGAGATACATAATATGCACCTTAATATGTCTCAACAAAACCTGATATTAAGCCAAAATTTACAAAGTAATTATGCTTCACCTCCTCCAAATAAAGGATGGTCTTCAAGCTTGGCTGAGCCTAACCTTGTATATCAAAAGAGAATTTTAGATGACTCAGTGAATTATCAGTCCAAAGACTCGATCGCTCTTCAAAACATATTATCTAATAAATGAGGCAGTTATTCAAAGCCCTGCCCAGGCAAACCAAATCAAAATGCTCCAGAAGGAGTAAATAAGACTTTACATCACAAATAAAGATTCGGGGAACAGCTTGTGACTAATAAACTCTTTAAACGATTTTGAATCATCCCCTATCCTCCAGGAGAACTTAATTAAGAGTCCAAATAAGGAAATTTGACTCAATCTTGAGCCATATCATAGCTTGAACAACAAGAGTACATCAATTAACCAGAACTCTACTGATCAGAGCTCCATACTCCTCCATGAAGAAATCAAAATCTGCCAAATGGAGATAGAACTGCTTCAAAAGAAGCTAAAATATTACAGAACTCAACTAGAAAACCTTGGAGAAGATAACACTAATGATTGGGAGCTCATGATCCAGACTATTCAAAGACAGCTATCAGAGAAAGTGCAAGAGCTTGCCCAGAAAAAGGCTAAAAGAGATAGCATCTCAGCTCAAGCCTACACAAACCAGTACTCTAACTATGAATCAGTTCATCCTCCAAGACTAAGCGGCATTGAAAGAAGAAGGAAATAGACTAGACAACCAACTGAATCACTTAAATATGTTATCTCATGAATGAGAGGAGGAAATTAATCTTACTCATGAGTCAAGACTTAGTATCTCTTCTATGATGAGCAACTTTTCCATCCCAAATGAACATGAAATAAAGCCTCAAAGTTCTTCTGGAGCCCCGCAACTTTCAAATATGCTCATGAATTATCAAATTTTAAATAAACCAATGGTAGATTTTGGAGCAAGTCCAGAGAAAAATATGAAAAATCAAAGAAAATCTATTAAAAATACAGAAAAAGACACTATAAAACCCCAAAATTCACAATATATTAGGGTTAAACATAGATACAGAAATTTAAAAGAAAGCATGCAATTCCACCCAAAGAATTGATTTAATAGAGATAAATAAAATTCAATTAAGTTATATAAAATTGGGGTTTTGGGGTTTTGGGGTTTTGGGGTTTTGGGG